TTGCAGCCATCATTGTTGTTTGGCGGGCCCGGGCTAGGGATTCGAACCTGCCACCTTAGGGGTATGTGGCTGGCGCCTTAGCCGCTTGAGCCACAGGCGCCGAGCCGCTCAGGCTGGTCTTGAACTCCTAAGTTCAAGTAATCCACCAGCCTTGGCCTCCCAGAGTGCTAGGATTACAGGCATGAGCCACTTGTTTTTGTCATGCAAAAGTTTTTTGTTGTAGTTATTTGGTTTTATGTAGCTGAATTTATTATTATATTCTTTTATGACTTATGATACTTTATTATGGAGAGATCATCTGTAAAATTAAAATTTTTTCTAATATATTCTTCCTGTACATTAGTCTTTTATTTTTTATATTTTACTTCTGATCTATGTGAAAATTCCTTTAGTGTAAGGAATGAGGTGGGGATCCAGATAACTTCTCATTTTTTTATGGTATGCTAATTAGTCATGCCATTTACTATCATTGTGCATTTTATATGGGTGGGAGATGCTGAAGCTCTATACCTGAATAGAAACTGCTGTGGGACTACCCTTTACTCATGTGCTTTGGTGGGAACTGCTTTATAATTCTTTGATTGTAAAACTGTTATTATCAGCTGCTGCATAGCTGCTGTAAAAAGGGCAATCGGTCCTAATTGGTCAGACTTCTCTTTCTGTTACTGGTGGGAAATTTATCTGGAAAGACCTCCTCTACTGAAGACAACGATAAAGATGCTAGTTAAATGTAAATCTCCTTAAAAGCTTCAAAGAACTGAGAAGATAGTGAAGAACTGTCTAGCCAGTTTGTGAAAGAAAATAGGAATTGAGGAGCATCAGTGAGCCAAAGCCACTTTTGCTGTGAGGACATTTTTCTTTTTCTTTTCTTTCTTTCTTTTTCTTTCTTTTTTTTTTTTAGAGACAGAGTCTCACTTTATTGCCCTCAGTAGAGCGCTATGGTGTCATAACTCACAGCAACTTCCAGCTCTTGGGCTTAGATGATTCTCTTGCCTCAGCCTCCCTGAGTAGCTGGGACTACAGGCGCCCACCACAACACCTGGCTATTTTTTGTTGCAGTTTGGCCACGGCCGGGTTTGGAACCTGCCACCCTTTGTATATGGGACCAGTGCCCTACCCACTGAGCCACAGGTGCCGCCCACTCTGAGGGCATTTTTCTGTGGGTAAACTTGAGCTTTGTTTATGGCTTTCTCTTAGGCCACAAGGGACAAGACAGAGGACCACCAAAGGAGGGTAGTTCAACATCCTTGTTGAAACTGTAGATTAAATTCCAAAAAAATTCCACTGCAGATTTGTGTGGGAATGGATAGCTATCTTCTTGTTTTAAGTGTTTCTTGTTTTGCTTTTTTAAGACAGTCTCACTTTGTTGCACTCAGTAGAGTGCCATGGCATCCTAGTTCACAGCAAGCTCTAACTCTTGGGCTCAAGCAATCCTCTTGCCTCGGCCTCCTGAGTAGCTGAGACTGCAGATGCCTGCCACAACAGCTCGTTTTTTTTAGAGATGAGGTCTTGCTCTTGTTCAGGTTGGTCTCAAACTCCTGAGCTCAGGTGATCCAGCCCCTCAGCCTCCCAGAGAGCTAAGATTACAGGTGTGAGCCATTATACCTGGCCTTATTTTAAGTCTTGATAGCACAGGAAGTGTATAAAGCAGTTTGATGTTAATCATTATGGAAACAGTATGACTTTACCACAGTATAAATTTCATGTATAAGTGCTGCTTGTGGTTTATAATTTTAGGCTGAATTCACTAGGAAACAGTATTAAGTATGCAGTAAAAGCTGATTTTCAGAATCATTCAGCATTTAAGAATAGTGTTTGAGGGCAGTTCTTCTGGTTTAAAATTTCAGGCTTGGCTATGAGATTAAAAAAATCACAATAGAACTTTACCACTGCTAAACTGTTAAACTCCTGCGTTAGGAGTTTCAGCTTCCATTTCTGACAAAAATTCATGGAACTGACAATGGTTAAATTTCATAAGAGCAAATAAAATTTGCCATTAACACTGTTGGTTCAAAAACACATGGGACAGGCTCAGCACCTGTAGCTCAGTGGATGGGGTGCCAGCCACATACACTGGGGCTAGTGGGTTCAGATCTGGCCCGGGCCTGCTAAACAACAATGACAACTGCAACAACAACAACAAAAATAGCTGGGCATTGTGGTGGGCACTTGTAGTCCTAGCTACTTGGGAGGATGACGCAAGAGAATTGCTTAAGCCCAAAAGTTTAAGGTTGCTGTGAGGTGTGACACCATAGAACTCTACTGAGGGCGACGTAGTGAGACTCTGTCTCAAAAAAAACCAAAAAAACCACATAGGGGAGTTAGTTTCTTTGTGTTTTTTTTTTTTTTTCAAAGTACCTACTGAAGAATAATGTGAATAATCAGAGGCTTTAACTACCTTACATTTTCACAATCTTTGAAAATGTTTAAGCCATTTTTTCATACACATTTTTTATTTTACTACCAGCCATTAGTTGTAATTCATTTTACTAGATTCTGACTGAGGTTTGTATTGAATTGGTATTTTCTCAGTATTTTAGAAAATATTCTCAGCTATAGTTGTTCCATGCAGCTGTTCATTGAAGCTAATTCTTCAATCACTTCAAACTTGACATTGATTCCTCTGTAAACAACTGAGTAGTATCTGTACTAGCTATTGATTTAAGATTCAAGAAAAACACTATTTGTCTTGTTTTTTAATTAATTATTGGCAGGGTTCCCAAAACTGTCAACTCTTAGAGCAACTGTTCTTGCTGAAAGGTTAGTCTTAAACAAGTCTATTTCTTCAGCTGCTGCAATCCAAAATGATTTAATTCATCTCATCTCTAATAAACAGCTTTCTTTGCTGACTAACAAGTGACCCACTCAGAAACTTAATTTTGTTGCAACTTTGTTTTAATTTTTAAATTTGTGTGAAAAATGCTATTGTGATGAGATAATCTGTTTTAATTTTTCTGATTTTTCTGATTATCACTTTCCTTTGAGTTGTAAATATTGTGATAAGTGCTTAGTCTGATAATGTTAGTGTATATTTATATTCTTTTAGCATAACCATAATGTTATTTGATAATAAACACAATGCTTTGCCATCTAATTCAATAACAGTATAATCCACGTTCTGTGTGTTAAAAATATACACTTGAAGTCCACTTTCTTTTTCCTCTTGTTTCAACACCGTGAGTATGCCCTGGTAATAAAAAATAATAACAAAATGTCACCTTATGGTAATACACATAGCACTTGAAATTCTGTCAAGTTATGACTGTGTCACTGTGGTTTTGTAGTATGCTGAGCAGTAAAAAGAGATGTGAATGTACCATCTCTTTTGTTACATCTTAACTCTATCTGTGTAGTGTGATAAGAGAAGCAACACATAAACCATAGGCAATAATAGACAAATGAATATGCTGTGTTTTCATAAAACTTTATTTACCAGCATGCAAAGTTGAATTTCAGATAATATTCTTGTGTTTCTTATGTTCTTTTAATTTTTGCAACCATTTAAAAATGTAAAAACCATTTTTAGCTCTCAGATTGTCATAAATAGGCAAAAGCCTTGTTTGGCCTATAGGACATAGTAGGCTTGTGGTAGAGCCAGGGTATAGAAAGTCTTCAGCAGATATCGTACTTAATGTTGAAATATTGAAAGTTTTCCTTTGACATCAGAAAAAAAGAGCCTGTTTGAACCATTCTATTCAGCTATAGACTAGAAATCTTTGTCAGCACAGTACGGTAAAAGAAAAAAAAACCTTATTTTGTGTGTGTATATGTATGTATTTATATATGTAAATAGATGGATTAGAAAGGAAGAAATAACTGTCATTTGCAGTTTTTAATATATGATGTATACATATATATGTAGAAAAATCCACAGGAAAATACAAATACATTATTGGAACTGAAAAGAGCAGTCAGCAAATTTTCTGGATATAAAAGCAATATATAAATATCATTCCTATAAAGCAGCAATACATTTTTTAAAAAAGGATACTGTTATAAAAGCATTTAGAAAATCTACTTAGTTTTGCCGATTTTTTTCTAAACTCTTGAGGTAGATACCTATTCATTAAATTTTAGCCTTTCCAAAATTTTATAATATACCTTAGTACCTGTGGGAAGAAACTGATTCAAAGAACTCCTCTCGCCCCACATACTAAAATCTATGATGCTCATTGAGCCCTTACCTAAAATGATAACAGTATTTGCATATAACCTATGTACATCCTCCCATATGCAGTTGACCCTTAAATATCATGGTTTGATCTGCACTGGTCCACTTGTAGGCAGATTTTCTTCTGCCTTTGCCACCCCTGTGATAACAAGACCAACCCCTCCTTTTCCTCCTCTTCCTCCTCTTCCTCAGCCTACACAGCATGAAGACAACATGCATAAAGACTTTTTGATGCTCTACTTCCACTTAATGAATATTAAGTATATTTTCTATTCCTTATGATTTTCTTAATAGCATTTTCTTTTTTCTTGCTTACTTTATTGTTAAAGAATATAGTATATATAGCCAGGTGCTGTGGAGACCACCTGTAGTCCTAGCTACTCAGGAGGCTAAGGTAAGAGGATCATTTGAGCTCAAGAGTTTGAGGATGCTGTGAGCTATGAAGCCACAGCACTCTATTGAGGGTGACAGAGTGAGACTCAAAAAAAAAAAAAGAGTATGGTATATCACATGCAAAATATGTGTTAATTGACTGTTTATGTTATTGGTAAGGGTTCTTTTCAAAAGTAGGCTATTAAATTTTTTTTTTTTTTTTAAACAGAGTCTCACTTTGTTGCCCTGGGTAGAATGCCGGGGTGTTATATCTCATAGCAACCTCAAACTCGTGAGCTGAAGCGATCCTTTTGCCTCATCCTCCCGAGTGGCTGGGACTACAGGTGCCTACCATGATGCCCAGCTAATTTTTCTGTTTTTAGTAGAGATGGTGTCTTGTTCTTGTTCAGGCTGGTCTCAAACTCACCACCACCCACCTTAGCTTCCCAGAGTGCTAGGATTACAAGGCATGAGCCTCATCACCACACCCGGTCAGGCTGTTCCATTTTGGGGGAGACAAAAGTTACATGTGGATTTTCAACTGTATGGGGTTAGTGCTCTTAACTCCCATGTTATTCAAAGGCAAACAAGTACTTTAAATCATCTCTAGATAGCTTACAATACCTAATACAATGTATATCAGTAGTGGTTATACTATATTGCTTAGTGACTAATGACAAGAAAAAAAGTCTATGCATGTTCAGTACAGACTCAACCATCATAGATTTAACTGCATTTTCCTTATGGTTGGTTGCATCTGTGGTTGCAGACTAGATGGATATAGAGGGCTACTGTATGCACATTTAAAGTTTCTGAAAGTTCTTCATAAGTACTCTTTCAGCTATCTTCACAAGTTTTGATGTGAGCAGTTTTGTTATAACTTAGTTCAACTTATTCATTGCTTTTCTTAGGATTTCATTGTTGCTCTTTGTTATTTAGAAATATAATTCTTAATTTTCAGGCAATAAATATATTCTAGTTATCATTTTTGTTGTTGATTTCTAGCGTTATAATCTGGGACTTTTTTTTTTGAGACAGAGTCTTACTATGTCACCCTTGGTAGAGTGCTATGGCAACACAGCTCACAGCAACCTCAAACTCTTGGGCTTAAGCGATTCTCTTGCCTTAGCCTCCCAAGTAGCTGGCAATATAGGCGCCTGCCATACACCAGCTATTTTTTTGTTGCAGTTGTCATTGTTGTTTAGCTGGCCCAGGCTGGGTTCGAATCCCCCAGCCTTGGCGCATGTGGCCAGTGCCATAACCATTGTGCTATGGGTCCTGAGCCAATCTGGGACATATTTTGAATTTAAATAGTCTTAAGTGTTACACTTAAATTGAAAAGATATATATATATATACACACACACACATGCATGCACACACACACATATATAGAAAATGATATGTGTGTGCATATATACAGTAGAACCTCTGTAAGTTGACCACCCAAAGGACTGTAACAAACTGGTCAACACACAGAGATGGTCAACATAAAGAACTAGGCCTGCTATACTTGTACATGTTGTGCATGTCCAGTCTATGAAAATTAGGTCAGCTTAAGGAGTTGGTCAATGTAGAGAGATGGTCAGCTGTGGAGATTCAACTGTATATTTGCATAAATATTGCCTTTGATTAGGATACAAATCCTCTGTCTAAAATGATTGGTTCAAAAGAATTTACATCACTACGTTGTTTTAAAAGTAAAAGATTCTATCAACTTTTTTTCCAGATATGAACTTTTCCCATGAAGGAGACAATTAAAATACCTAGATTTATCTTAATTAAAATGGGATTATTATTTTAACCAAAATTTTTCATAGGATATGTTACTATCTTTTAAACTATGCTTTAGTTTACTATCCTTTTTTATTTTTTTAATTAAATCTTACAGGATATGGAGCCTAGTAGATCATGCATTGATAGCAAGGTGTAATATGGAAGAACCAATTCGTTGTGCAGCTGTGAATGCAGATGGAATCCATCTTGCGCTTGGAATGAAGGATGGCTCATTCACTGTACTTCGAGTGAGGTATAGTATTAGGGTAGAAGTAGAAACAGTAATGCTCACAATGAGGTAGAATGTGTAATACTCATTTTTTTTTTACTCATTTGTCTTTTCTTCATCTTAGCATTACTTAATATTTCAGATATTATTTCCATTAAATATACACTATATTTAAAAAAATAGCTTTGTTAGAATATTAAATAAACTCAAAAATGGTTTTGGGGGTGGTTAAGAATGCTTAATAGATTAATGGGTAAAATTTTGAGCTATAAATTTGGGTCCCAACTTCCTCTTCTTGGGTAGTATAGATTTTCAGTAATGATCTTTTGTAGTGAATAACCACAAGGCTGTTAAAACTGGGTGAATGGTTTTTTTGTTATTAACGGCTTTATGCTTTTTTTTTTTTTGAGACGGAGCCTCAAGCTATCCCCCTGGGTAGAGTGCCATGGCATCACACTCACAGCAACCTCCAATTCCTGGGCTCAAGCGAGTCTCCTGCCTCCGCCTCCCAAGTAGCTGGGACCACAGGCGCCCGCCACAACGCCCGGCTATTTTTTGGTTGCAGCCGTCATTGTTGTTTGGCGGGTCCAGGCTGGGGATTCGAACCCGCCACCTTAGGTGTACGTGGCTGGTGCCTTAGCCGCTTGAGCCACAGGCGCCGAGCCCGGCTTTATGCTTTGAAAAAAAAAAAAAAAGTGCTTGCCTTTCTTCTTTTGTTGGTGTAATTAGAAAAGTTTAAAGAACTGCTTTGTTAAAGCCATTATAGTTAGGTGCAATTGAATTCTGTGTGGCCATTAAAAAATTGGCTGTAGATCCACTGTATGTTTACAAGGATAAGTACTTTTAAAGGCCTTATTCTCTAGCTTAGTGAATGGTAGGATCTTCAACTCGATTGCCAAGTGTAGAAAATGTTAATTCATTTTTCTTTTTTAGCTACTTCCTAAAGAGCTTACACATTAATTCTTCCATTCTTTTTTTTTTTTTTTTGAGACAGAGCCTCAAGCTGTCCCCCTGGGTAGAGTGCTGTGGCATTACAGCTCACAGCAACCTCCAAGTCCTGGGCTCAAGCGAGTCTCCTGCCTCCGCCTCCCAAGTAGCTGGGACCACAGGCGCCCGCCACAACGCCCGGCTATTTTTTGGTTGCAGCCGTCATTGTTGTTTGGCGGGTCCAGGCTGGGGATTCGAACCCGCCACCTTAGGTGTACGTGGCTGGCACCTTAGCCATAATTCTTCCATTCTTACCATGTACTCTTGTGTAGGCGTATGTCATCTCCTGACTGGATTGGGGTCTCCATACCTTTCTTCACTCTATAGCAGTGATTCTCAACCTTCCCAATGCCGCAACCCTTTAATGCAGTTCCTCATGTTGTGCTGACCCCCAACCATAAAATTATTTTCGTTGCTACTTCATAGCTGTGATTTTGCTACTGTTATGAATCATAATGTAAATAGCTGATATGCAGGATATATTTAGGTGACCCCCGTGAAAGAGTCCTTCGACCCCCAAAGTGCTCACAACCCTCAGGTTGAAAACTGCTGCTCTACAGTGATAGTGATTCTTTTAAAGACACATTTGTTTACATTACTCCTTTTTCTTTTTTTTACATTACTCCTTTTTCTTAAGTATGATAAAGACATTGTATTGTCCTTAGGATGAAGTTTATAACCTTAACATGGTATGGTGGACATCTCTCCTGCCTATTTCTCTGCACCTCAGTCTCTCTTTCATCTGTACAAAAGTTCATTCACTTCTTCAGCTACATCATGTTCCCTTGTACTTCTGAGCTTTGATATTTATGTAGTCCTCTTTCTGAGACAGATTTTTATGATGGGATATGCTGAGATTTTTCTTTTAAACTAATTTTTTTTTTTCAGAGACAGGGTGTCTCTTTGTTGCCCAGGCTGGTATGATACAGCTCAATATAACCTTGAAAGATCCTCCTGTCTCACCCTCCCCAGTAGCTGGGACTAGAGGCACACCCCACCATGCCTGGCTAATTTAAAAAACATATATTTTTAGAGATGGGATCTGGCTATGTTGCCTAGGCTGGTGTGGAACTTCTGGGCTCAAGTAGTCCTCTTGCCTCAGCCTCCTTAAGTGCTGGGATTACAGCTGGGTGTCACTGAACCCAGCCTCTTAAAGTAATTTTTTTTATTGTGGTAAAATATACTTAATGTAAAATTTATAATTTTGGTCATTTTTAAATATACAGTTCCATGGCATTAGGTACATTCACATGGTTGTGCAACTATAACCACCATCCAGCTCCAGAATTATGCCATCTTTCCAAACTGAAACTCTATACCAATTAAAGATAACTCTACATTCCTCCCTCTCTAACCCTGAAAAAAATCACATTTCTGCTTTCTGTCTCTATGAAAGAGGGAATTTGGCTACTCTTAGTTCTTAAACTCATTTTTTAAATGGTTTATAAAATTTGAATGTCAATTAAAGCTTTCTTCCCAGAGCTCTGTAAATGTCATATTGCCTTCTTTTGTCAGCCAGCTTCCTAAACTGAGATGAAAGACTATGAAACGCCTTTACTAGGCTCTCATTACTATTACTATTGGGGCACCGATTTGGTCATTATTCTAGAATCTCTATAACTATCATCATCATCTGTTCTTCTCATTGCTTGTTTAATTTCTTTGAAGATGACTTTTCATTTTTACAGGTTAGAAATCATAAACAGAAACATGTGAATATTAGTATTTGTGATCAGCCTTATTTTTTCTTTTGCATAAGAACTGAAAGTATTAGAATTAGAATGCTAATGTGTAGAGGTTGCACGAGAATCTAAAATGAATGTAAAACATTCAAGACTTTTCCTCTTTGAGCTGATATTTTTTAAAAAGTAGTGATCATCTTTTAGCTAATGTTCATTAAAAGTACTGGTTATTAGTCATTTACTTGCCTTTCAAATATTATATGCAGTAAACTAAACGAAAAATTTCTTATTTCTTCCCAGCCCTTAGGAGGCCAAGGCAGGTGGATTCCCTGAGCTCATAGGTTCAAGACTAGCCTGAGTCAGAGCAAGACCCCATCTCTAAAAAATAGCCTGGCATTGTGGTAGGCATTTGTAGTCCCACCTACCTGGGAGTCTGAGGCAAGAGGATCACTTGAACCCAAGAGTTTGAGGTTGCTGTGAGCTAGGATGCCATGGCACTCTACCAAGGGTGACCAAGTTAAACTGTCTCAAAAAAATTTTTTTTTTCTAATAAGGCTGTGTTTTAGCAACTGAATCTAAAAAACATTTGTTTACATTACTCCTTAAATCAGTGGAAAGGTTATTCTGAGTAGTAAATGCTTTTATAGGTTAAGTCACAAAATAGTATTCTTAATCCTTCTGAATTTATTTCCTCTTGGTTTGCTTTGTGTTCTCTGTATGATAAAGCAGGATTCAGTAATATAGCAGTATTAAAGTACCCTCACAAGGAATGGTTATATTATGGTTACAGGAATAAAAATTAGATTAGAATCTTATACACTGGTACACACACCAGGGTATAAGATGATATAACAGGGTAAAGCCACAATATCTTCTTAAACATCTCTTTTCTATGTGATAAGAAATGTTAATAATTTTTTAATTATTATGAACCAGTGCACCATTTAAAATTAAAAAAAACTTTATATCCCCCTGTTTTTTAAAAATTTATATATATATATTTTTTGAGACAGTGTTTCACTATGTTGCCCTCAGTAGAGTGCTGTGGTAGCATAGCTCACAGCAACCTCAAACTCTTGGGCTTAAGCAATCCTCTTGCTTCAGCTTCCCAAGTAGCTGGGACTACAGGTGCCTGCCACAATGCCTGGCTATATCCTTCTACATTATTAACCTATTTATGCTGGAGGTTGAAATTTAAAAAAAAAATTTTTTATTGTTTGGGATTCATTGAGGGTACAAAGAGTTAGGTTACACTGATAGCATTTGTTAGATAAAGTCCCTCTTATAATTGTGTCCTGCCCCTAAGAAGTGTGGCATACACTGTGACCCTCCATTTCCCTCCATTTTCCCCTCTCCCAACTTGCTCATTCTCCTCCTCACCTTGTGTTAGCTCCTCTACTGCCTTCATATTAGAATAGAGTACATTGAATTCTTACTTCTCCATTCTTGTGATGCTTTGCTGAAAATATGTTCCACTTCTATCCAGGTTAATACAAAAGCTGTAAAGTTGCCATCTTTTTTAGTGACTGAATAGTATTCCATAGTATACATATGCCACAGCTTGTTAATCCATTCCTGGGTTGATTGGCATTTATGTTTTTTCCACATTTGGTGGAAATTTGGCGATTGTAAATTGAGCTCTGATAAACAGTCTTATGCAAAATGTCCTTATGATAAAAAGATATTTTTTCTTCTTGGTAGATGCCTAGTAATGGGATTATAGAATCAAATAGGAAGTCTATATTTGACTTCTTTGAGGATTCGCCATAGTTTCTTCTAAAAAGGGTTGGTTTAGGTTGCAGTCCCATCAGCAGTGTAAAAGTGTTTCCTTGTCTCCACTTCCATGCCAACATCTGTAGCTTTGAGACTTTGTGATGTGGGCCATTCTCACTGGGGTTAGGTGATATCTCAGGGTAGTTTTGATTACTACATCATCCTCTAATGATTAGGGACGATGAGCATTTTTTCATATGTTAGCCATTTATCTATCTTTAGAGAAGATTCTATTCATGTCTCTTGCCCAGTAATATGTGGGGTCATTGGATCTTTTTTTGTTGATTAATCTGAGTTCTCTATGGATCCTAGTTATCATATTTTTGTCCAATTCATAATATGCAAATATCTTCTCTCATTCTGAAGACTGTCTGTTTGCTTTGATTGTTAGCTGTAGAGAGGTTTTCAGTTTAATTAAGTCCCATTTGTTTATTTTTGTGTTGCAAATGCCACAGAAATCTTCTTTATAAAATCTTTCCCCAGGCCAATATTTTCAAGTGTTTTCCCCACACTTTCTTCAAGGATTTTTATTGTTTTATGCCTTAGATTTAAATCTTTCATCCATCTTGAATCAATTGTTGT